TATCCATATCTATATTGGAAATATGATAGACATAACAGTTGTTAAAAGATTTCATAATGATGTAAAATTTGTATGATAATGATGAAATATCATGATAAAAGAAGTAAAATGATTTAAAAAGGATAATATATATCTATAAGGAAATAATTAATTATAATAGCCAATTGAGATTTCGAGTTATTTGTATCAAAAAATCAATAAAAAATTATATTATATCAATGTAATACCATTGGATATCTTGCAGCATTCTTTGCACAGAGGCTCACACGGAAGTTCAACGACAGATATACGTACAGATAGGGATCATCATAGAGATGGCAAGGATCATAAGGAAGGAAAAGAACCTATGGGACGTCCTCGAGCAGGTTCAGAAAGTAGCAGAAATCCTGTTAGTAAAGTTATGGATCTTATTAGACACAGAAGTCACAGTACCCTTAGTGCAGATGACAAACGAAAAGCGGTAAGCGATTTATCCTTTTATACAAGGTTCATTATCTTTTTCTTTTTGTTATAATATTGCAATGATGTTTATTATGAATGTAATAACCGACTTAGTATTTAAAATAGTTTCCTACTTTATCATGAATAATACAAGTTTATAATTATTTTTCAACAGAGATGAAATATAAAATAAATTTATTTATGCATAATTATACGGGACATAATCCCATAAGAATAAAAGAATAAAATCCGAATAACAATTATATTTGTAAATAAATAAATAGATGTGTTATTTTATGGAACTTCGTCGTTGAGATATCATATTCTGAATTACCGATCGTGTAAAAGATCAGAAATTTCATTTATACATTTACATTTAGTTTTAATTTTCACCACTTCTCATGCTCTGTAATTGTATTCTCTGCTGAATCGTTAAAGTTGAAAACTATATTCAAATGGTAAAAGCTTCATAAATGCAAGTTTAACCTCATCTGTTGCTATTAAATGTATAATACAATTGATTTAACGCTTAAAGTTTTATATAATAAATATAATAATTTTATTAATTTATTTTGCATTCTGTTAATAAAGAATACAAAGTATGATTTACGAACATTTAATATTTCAGTTATAATACTAAAAAATTTATTCAATTTTTTTTACCTTGCATTATTTTATTTCAAATTATCTCGAGATTAATTATTGATACATCGTACAAGAAAACTTTGGATGAGAAAACTAAAAAATTAGGGCGAACTCTTATAAACTCATTTCTGCCCGAGTTCCAAACAGAGAAAATTGCAATTCGTTTCAATATTTCTCTTCTTGATAAAGCGTGATTTTTAAAAACGAACAACTACTGTTTGATTCGTCTTAATAATATTTCAGCGAACAAAAGAATGTTGATGATGTGTCTTTATTTTTTTTCGACTATATTAGAAAAATATTTTTTTTTTTGTTATTTTTGCAATTATTTTAATATTAATTTTTGCTCATCACACGTTATACTATCGTATCTTATTATTCCTATATTATATATCGTACCTTATTATTATTATATTTTATCACGATATGCAAGAATATTAATTTAAATGAAAAAACGAATCATTATATTTTATTTATACATATCTGCGATAACGGTATAAAAAAAATGTATAATTTTATATGGAAGAGATTCTTATAAAGAAGTTGTAAATAGTTTGTTGAAACATTCATCAATTCATTCTTCATCATTGTTTATTTTAATAAGTATAATTTCCAATTTTGTTGTTATGTCGATAAATCTTAGTAAAACTTGCAAACTTTGAAGATTTTTAAATTCTGCCTATTTATCTTTAAAATTATACATTAATCTTTTATTAATCAATTTATTCTAAATTTCATTTATTTAAACATATATTTTATCTAATAATTAAACAAACGATTATACATTCATTGATTGAAATATCTCTAGTTATTTTTGGCTTCGATGCAATGTTTTTTTAATTCTTTTTTATTTTTATATTTTTTTTTATGATTTAACCATAAAACGATTTTTATCTGAATATTTTCCAACGAAATTCTCTTTCGCGTTTCAACGTTCTTGGTCATATGTCACATGACTCGTTAGTGCTGAAACCAGTTTCGTTTCTCCTACCGATCACAATACCGTAACAGTTTCGTTACTTCGTTCTTGGAAGTTTATTCTCTTACTCTTTTTAGAATTAAAATTTTTTGAGAAAATTGAAATTTTTATTATTTTTCTTGTAACGCTATTATTTAAAAAAAAAGTATACGAGATTGAATTTTATCCTTGAAAAATACAACGTAGAAATTGTCAAATTTATTTAAAAGGTAATATTTTAAAGGACATCACGTGAAACTTCAAAATTATATATGTTGAAATAAAATTTTAAATGTAATCGAGTACAGAAAATATTTTCATTCGAATTTTATGAAACTTAAGATTAATTCATTAATTCATTTTATTTTCACATAAATTTTTGGAACGAATAATTTATATTTTTATCAATTGATTTTAATTCTCTCGTGTAAGCTAAATTTATTTTGAAATATCATAGGAAAAATAATTTAAGAGATATCTGTTAATAATTTAACAGATAAACTCTTTGCGCTATTAGGAAATCTATTTTTTACGCAGTTGACAATGTTGAAATATAATAGGTCATCTCATAAGTAATATCGTTTCGATGATTAATTTTAGTGAAAAAAAATTTTTACTTTCTCTTTTTCAAACATATTTCATCCTTTTAAATAATATTTTAAATGTTAACCTTTAATTTTCAAAAATTTTGCCATTTGAAAAGTTGGAAATCAAATACCAAATGAAAAATGAAAAAAATAAATATATATATAATGATTCGTTATAATTTATTTATAAATATTTTATTTATATTTTATTTATTATTTATAAATAATAAATAAGTAATGATTCGTTAATACTGTTAAAAGAATATTATAAATATGTATATATCGATGTTAGATTTATAAATATTGATTATTTATCTATTTTTTCTAAAATACTTCATTCTAATGAATACATTAAAATACAATTTTTTTATAACAATTTTATTTTAAATGTTAATATGTATATAATATGTATATTTTTTATTTTAAAAAAGTAATATTTATATTTCTTGAATTTTTAAAACCTGGAAAAAATTGATAAATTTTTAAATAAGGCAATAATAATATCAATTATTTAATCTATAATCTATTTATTTCATTTTATCATTGCTTCTATAATATATAGTTAATATATTTGCAAAATCGATTTTAGAAGTCAAAATAAATATAAAAGTAGATAAAATGTTAATTGAGGCTTATTTATTTGATTATAAGCAATTTAAATTTGCATTAGATGAAGCAAGACAAACCGATACGATAATAAAGTTGTATCATTCTATCTGATCTAATACAAATTTCAATTGCTTACATATAATAATCCTCGACAGACATTTTTGTATATTAGTTTTTATGTTTGTTTTGACCTCTAGAATTGATCCTCCAAGTTGTCACACGAATATATTAACACTTTACATAACCGAGTATCGTAACATTGAAAAAGAATCTTTTAACAGATTGCCGCTTTGTTTATCATAATCATATATTACTTATCCAATTTTTCATATGAATTATATACAATCAATATAACTTATATTATACGTTAAAATTTTATTAAATATATATATTAAATATATATGTTATAATATATATATATATATATATAATATAATAATAATATAATAATAATATATTATATAAATATATAATATAATATAAATAATTCTTTATAATTTAAATCACATTTAAATTAAATTAATAAAACGTGTTATTTATAAGATAACCTAATAAATAGTTCAAAATATCTCACTTAAATTATAGCATTGATAAAACGTATCTTTTCTAATATGTCCCGTCATGTTATTATTAATATCATTATTCTTTCGAATTAGAATTTCTCACTAACTACGATTCGATAAATAGAATTCGTTAGACGCACAGGTGGTTTGAAACTATGACGTTACGAATTTTGGTGGGAGTCATGTTTTTATGTAAGTCGGTGCACATGTAAACGGCACCGACCTAAGCATGTATGACGTATGCGAGCAAAGAGCGGAGAAAAAGACGACAGATTCAAGACGTGCGTTTTTCACTCAGTGAGTTACGGAACTTGCGACGTTCAAGGTGCTAGGGAAACGTGCTCGCACTTCTATTTGTCGAATCGTGCGCGCTCTCTTTACAACTGATTCGTTCATTTCGTCCATCAAAATCCTATTTTTCAAGTTCCATGAAAAATTATTAACAGTGCGGTGATTCAAATGTTAACATTCTTAACGTCAGTTTTATTATACATTAATAAATTCTATTTCTATTAAATCGAAAAGTATATCTATCATTGTGATTTTATTTAATGGGAAAATAGGTTGGTAGTATATAGTGATAATTGGTAATTTTTGTCAAGTAAAGAATGAAGTAATAATTTATTTCTTGTTTTGGTTATTATCGTGAGGATATATTAATGTATATTCTTTTAATTATTTAAAATTTGATATTCGATTTTGATTATGATTTTTTTTTCTTTAGTAATAGAAAAACAAGTGACGAAGTAAGAAAATTGCTAAGTTTGAATATAATTATCAATTAAAAAGTTACATTAATAATTAATTACAAGTAATTTTCTTGTCTATTATTGTTGAATGAAGATCGAATAATTAAATTTTAATTGTTTAAGATTCAGTATTCGGTTTTTTTATTTGTCAAATGATATAAATATCTCGAAATAATCGGTGTTCATATTGTTCGATTTTATTACGATGTATGTAGAATTTTCTAGCGGAAAATAGGTGATAAATAGAGATTATTAATGAAGTTATGGAATTAATTAGAAAATATTGTGTTTAGTAAAAGTTTAATCTTTCTTATTCTTTCTGTACAATGACATGTTCTTCTTCTACTTGATATCAAAGATTTTCTTGATTAAAGATGTTATTTCCAGCGATTATTTCGGAATTGTAATGACGCTGCGGTATTCTACGCGTTTTAAACACACGATTGATATTCCAAACTTAAATATATTATACTGTATAATAGCATTTCTCAATTTTTTCGTCACATGATATACATCATATGATTTAAATATTAATAGTATAAAATTTAAAATTTGAAAATCTAATAAATTGTACAGTTATTTTACATTATATAGATAATTAAAATTATCATTTTTTTTTAAATAGATATATTTTGATTCGAATATTTTTCATTTCATAATCTATGAATTGAAAAACACTTGTCTATTTATAATATATACATGTATGTATCTCAAAATTACTTGCAATAGATACTATTTATTTAAATTGCGTAGAAAAATAACAATCCTATTTTGTTACTAAAATATCAGAGTCATGTGACCTCCACCTAGTCACTTATAGATATTAAACAAAAAAAAAAAAAAAAAAATTTAGTATAATCGAAAAAATATATATTTTCTTAAATACAAAAGCTGTAGAGTGGGTTAACTTACGGTCATGTCGGAAGATGTCTCGAGTTCATCGACGAAGTCTTTTCTCTATTGTTCGGTTTTTCTAAATTGAAAGGTAGCAGTTTTATGCTACTTCTTTTCGCTCTCTCGCTTTATTTTCTTATACGATTCAAGAGAACTTTGCAACGTATAATACTCGAACGATATTCTACTTTTTCGTTCGTATTCTTGGCTTAAACGGTTTCATAATAATTTTCGTCACAATAGTATTCTTTATGCCTCGATTACATGTGCAACGTTAATATTTGCCTTGGCTGCACAAAGTACACCTTTTATATATTATTTATAATCGCATTTGTATATGATCATGATGAAAACGAAAAAAATAATTTCATTAAAAAATAATTGAATATAAAAATATTTTATATAATTGAATTGTATATATTACTTTTTATTTTAATATACGTTGAAATATAATATGATCGAATAGAAATTATTTTTATTTTTTTTTCTTTTATTTCTCATATTGAAATTATATTCTTTGCAGCAGGTTTCTGGAAATTTTTTGGCTCCTCTCTCTCTCTCTCTCTCTCTCTCTCTCTCTCTCTCTCTCTCTCTCTCT